ACGATTATAAGGATACTAGCTGGGCTCGAGAAAAACATAGAAGACACTGCAGAGATAAAAGAACTAAAAACTAGTCAGGTAAAAAAAAAAAAATGCTGTAACCAAGATGCAAAACCGAGGGGCGCCTGGGTGGCTCAATCGGTTAAGCGTCTGCCTTCAGCTCAGGTCATGATCCCAGGGTCCTGGGATCGAACCCCGCATCGGGCTCCCTGCTCCTGCTTCTCCCTGTCCCTCCCTCTGCCACTCCCCCTGCTTGTGCTCTCTCTCTGTCAAATAAATAAATAAATAAAATCTTAAAAAAAAAAAATGCAAAACCAACTGGATGAAATGGCAACAAGGATGGAAGAAGCAGAGGAATGAATCAGTGATACAGAAGATAAAATGTATGGAAAGTCATGAAGCTGAGAAGAAGAGGGAAAGAAAAGTATTGGATCATGAATGTAGACTTAGGGAACTCAGCAACTGCATAAAGTGTAATAACATTCGTATCATAGGAGTCCCAGAAGATGAAGAGACAGAAAAAGGGACAGAAGGTTTGTTTGAGCAAATTATAGCTGAAAACTTCCCTAGTCTGAGGAAGGACACAGACATCTAAATCCAGGAGGCACAGAGAACTCCCATCAAATTCAACAAAAGCTGGCCAACACCAAGACATATCCTAGTAAAGTCTGCAAAATATAGCGGTAAGGAAAGAATCCTGGGGCACCTGGGTGGCTCATTTGGTTAAGCATCTGCCTTTGGCTCAGGTCATGGTCCCAGGGTCCTAAGATCGAGCCCCGCATTGGGCTCCTTGCTCAGCGGGGAGTCTGCTTCTCCCTCTCCTTCTGTGTTCTCTCTCTCTTAAATCAATCAATCAATTAATCTTTAAAGGAAGGAATCCTGAAAGCAGCAAGGGAAAAGAAATCCCTAACCTACAAGGGAAGACAAATCAGGTTAGCAGTAGATCTCTCCACAGAAACCTGGCAGGCCAGAAGAGAGTGGGAGGATATATTCAACGTGCTGAAGGAGAAAAATATGCAGCCAAGAATACTTTATCCAGCAAGGCTGTCATTCAGAATAGAAAGAGAGATAAAGAGTTTTCCAGACAAACAAAAACTAAAGGAGTTCATGACCACTAAACCAACCCTGCAAGAAATATTAAAGGGACCCTTTGAGTGGAAGAGAAAGACCAAAAGCAACAAAGAAAGGAACAGAGAAAAATCTTCAGAAACACTGACGTTACAGGTAATACAATGGCAGTCAATGCTTATCTATCAATAATTACTCTAACTATAAATGGACTAAATGCTCTAACCAAAAGGCACAGGGTATCAGAATGGATAAAAAAAACCCAAGACCCATCTATATGCTGCTTATAAGAAACTCATTTTGGACCTAAAGACACATCCAGGTTGAAAGTGAGGGGGTGGAAAACCATCTATCATGTTAATGGACATCAAAAGAAAGCCTGAGTAGTCATACTTACATCAGACAAACTAGATTTTATTATTTATTTATTTATTTATTTTTTACTTTCTTTTTTTAAAATTATGTTCTGTTAGTCACCATACAGTACATCATTAGTTTTTGATGTAGTATTCCATGACAGACAAACTAGATTTTTACTTTTTTTATTTTTATTTTATTTTTTTTTTTTTTAAAGATTTTATTTGACAGAGAGAGACACAGCAAGAGAGGGAACACAGGCAGGGGGAGTGGGAGAGGGAGAAGCAGGCTTCCTGCAGAGCAGGGAGCCTAATGCGGGGCTCAATGCAGGGCTCGATGCGGGGCTTGATCCCAGGACCCTGGGATCATGACCTGAGCCAAAGGCAGACGCTTAACGACTGAGCCACCCAGGCACCCCCAAACTAGATTTTTAAACCAAAGACTGTAACAAGAGATGAAAAAGGGCACTATATCATAACTAAGGGGTCTATCCAACAGGAAGATCTAAAAATTGTAAATATTTATGCCCCCAACTTGAGAGCCGCCAAATATATAAATCAATTAATAACAAATAAAGAAACTCATTGATAACCATACCATAATAGTAGGGGTCTTTAACACCCCACTTATAGCAATAGACAGATCATGTAGGCAGAAAATCAACAAGGAAACAATGGCTTTGAATGACACACTGGACCAGATGGACTTAACAGATATAACCAGAGCCTTTCATCCTAAATGCAACAGAATACACATTCTTTTTGAGTGCACATGGAACATTCTCCTGTTCCTGGGTCACAAATCAGCCATGGGTAACAAATCAGCCCTCAACCAGTATGAAAAGATTGAGATCATACCAGGCATATTTTCAGACCATGAGGCTATGAAATCTGAAGTCAACCACAAGAATAAATTTGGAAAGAATACAAATACATGGAGGTTAAAGAACATCATACTAAAGAATGAATGGGTTAACCAGGAAATCAAAAAAGAAATAAAAAAAATACATGGAAGCAAATGAAAATGAAAACACAACAGTCCAAAATCTTTGGAATGTAGCAAAGGCAGTCCTAAGAGGGAAGTATATAGCAATACAGGCCTATCTCAAAAAGCAAAAAAAAAAAAAAAAGTCTCAAATACACACCTAACCTTACACCTCAAGGAACTAGAAAAGGAACTGCAAATAAAGCCTAAAGCCAGCATAAGAAGGGAAATAATAAAAACTAGAGCAGAAGTAAATGATACAGAAACAAAACTAGTAGAACAGATCAATGAAACTAAGAGCTTGTTTTTTGAAAGAATTAATAAAATGGATAACCCCCAGCCAGACTTATCAAAAAGAAAAGAGAAAGGTCCCAAACAAATAAAAGCATGAATGAAAGAGGAGAGATCACAACCAACATCACGGAAATACAATTATAAGAGAATATTATGAAAAATTATATGCCAACAAACTGGGCACTCTGGAAGAAATGGATAAATTCCTAGAAACATACAAACTACCAAAACTGAAACAGGAAGAAATAGAAAATTTGAACAGACCCATAACCAGCAAAGAAATTGAATCAGTAATCAAAAATCTCCCAACAAACAAAAGTCCAGGGCCAGATGGCTTCCTAGGGAATTTTACCAAACATTTAAAGAAGAGATAATATTAATTCTTCTCAAACTGTCCCAAAAATTAGAAATGGAAGGAAAACTTCCAAACTCATTCTACAAGGCCAGCATTACCTTGATTCTAAAGGCAAAGACCCCACCAATTTGGGGCTTGAACTCAAAACCCTGAGTTCAAGACCTGAGCTGAGATCAAGGGTCCGACCGACTGAGCCACCCAGATGCCCCCAGAATAATGTATTTTTAAAATAAAGTTTTGATTTGTATTATTTAGAGCATGAGACAAATTTAATGTTTTTATAAGAAAACATTAAAATGGTAAGATTTCTCCACTTTAGACTATCACATAAATTATTTGTGTGTGTTTGATCATCTAGATAATTGAACATAAATTATCAAGAAATCATGGATTCTCTATCTGGGGCAATGCTCAATGCTTAATAAAATAATATACTCACAAGATTTGGAATTGGAAGAAATTTAGACCTGTCTAGTCTAGTGCCTTTACTCATTTAACTCCAAAACTTTAATGACTTAGCAAAGGTCATAAATTAATGGGTAGAAAAGGGGCTAGAACTCCAAATCCCGGTGTTATTTCCTTTAAATGCTCAGCGGAAGGCCTGCTTCTCCCTCTCCCCCTCCCCCTGCTTGTGTTCCCTCTCTCGCTGTGTCTCTCTCTGCCAAATAAATAAATAAGATCTTAAAAAAACAAACCTTAAATATTTTATACTTGCAGTGTTTGTATTGCCAGAGTTAAAAAAAAAAAATTGTTTTTGTTTTATTAAAAAATAGGAGACAATGTTCCTATCATAATATCCTCTGAGACCACTAGGTGTCACGTTAGAGCTATGATTACATATCACTACTGTGGGTTCTCTGCTCATGGGAAAAACGTGGTGGATGGAACCTTTAGAGGTTTGGGGGTTCTACATAAGTTAAATGAGGATGATGATAATAGCCCTTGATTCACAGAATTTTGAGGGATATCTAGGAGATACACGAGGATTACATGAACTACCATAAGTAAAGCATTTAGCGCAGGGCCTGGCACTTGGTGAGGAAACCCTCAATAATTCTTAGTAAACTCATTCATCACCAGGGCATTCCTATTATCTATTTTGACAAAAGATAGGAAATACAATGGTTTTACAATATCTATGTATCAAAAAGATAAATTCTGCTGCAGCAGAGGGCTAAGAAGCTGCTCGTGTTTACAAGAGTTTCTCAGCTGTAGGTATATCTTAGTAACAGGTTGATCTGGACCTTGCCCGTGAATGATGGAGCTTTGGAATCAAGAAAAAAATAAAATAAAAATAAACCCCGCCGTCTCTGCGGTCTGATGGGTCTGAGGCTGAACCACAGCTCTACCACTTGGCACCTCTTTCCCACAGCGCCTGCATCTGTGAAATGGGGATAATTATGTACGTATATGACACCGTTGTTGTACAGAATGGATCAGACAGGGCCAAGAAGTGCTCAGGACGGTGCTCAGCAAATCCTAGTTATGTGACCTTGAGCTAGTTATTTAACTTCTGGAAGGCCTCTTCTCTGGATCTGTAAGGTAAGGTTAATACGCACTTTTCCGCTGTAAGAAGCAGGTGAGGGAGATTCTGGAAAAAGGGGAAAAGCAGCTCTCCCTCCTCCCCACTCTGACTCTGAGTTATTTGCCTCTTCTGGGCTAAGGGACTCTTTGGACCCACACCTTAGTGGGTGAGGGCTTGAGCTCTCCTGGGGACCTAACACAAGGCTGTCAACTTAGTGGGCTGGACCAACACCGGACAGCGCATCCTGGGGTGAGCCTGAAGCTCAGAGATCTGTGGGCGTGAGGACAAGGAAACTAGACACAGAGACGTGTAAGGAGTTGAGATACACGTGCAATGGCCCAGCCCTGGCCATGAGCACCGAGAGCTGCCTCAGAAAGGACTTCTCTTACTCTAGATGCTTTACTAGTCCAGACTTACGTTTTTTCCAAATTTGAGAACCATTTTTTCGGCATTTATGTGGTCCAGAAAATTTGGATGGTGTTTTCTTCTTCGATAATCCTCTTCAGTAAATGGAATCTCAGAATCATCCTATGAAAGACAGAAAGCCAGACTTGAGACATAAAGCTTAGAGCTACGTAAAACTTCCAAGCCCCAAATGTTGCCTCAACTGTGTTCCGGAGAGCTCAAAGAAAGCATCGGAAAAGCTACTGCTTACTTTTTCAGTGATTCAACTCCCTTTAAAATGTTTTAGCTAGCCAATGTTATCATTTATACTTACTTTAAGCAAAATAAAAAATTTAAATGTCTTTCTTTTTTTTTTTTTTTTTCCTAAGCCTCCACTCCCAACTTTACTTTAAAAAGCATGTAACTAAAGCGGCAAGGCTGAACACTCATCCTCTGATTTTTATTTTAGTGCTGTATCACTTGTAGCCTACACAGAGCCACATTTTTAAAAAATTTTATTTTATTATGTTATGTTAATCACCATACATTACATCATTAGTTTTTGATGTAGTGTTCCATGATTCATTGTTTGCGTATAACACCCAGTGCTCCATTCAGTACGTGCCCTCTTTAATACCCATCTCCAGGCTAACCCCTCCTCCCACCCCCTCCCTCTAGAACCCTCTGTTTCTCAGAGTCCATAGTCTCTCATGGTTCGTCTCCCCCTCCGATTAACCCCCCTTCATTTTTCCCTTCCTAATATCTTTTTTTTTTTTAACATATAATGTATTATTTGTTTCAGATAAATGTCTTTCTTTTAAAGACATTAAATAACCCATTTCTTTAAAAAAAAATTTATTTTATTTAAATTCAATTGATTAACATATAGTGTATTATTAGTTTCAGAGGTAGAGTTCAGGGATTCATCCGTTGCATACAACACCCCGTGCTCATTACATCATGTGTCCTCCTCCCAGTTATCCCACCCCCAACCCCTCTGCCTAACCCCAAACCCTCAGTTTCCTAGAGTTAAGTCTCATGGTTTGTCTCCCTCTCTGATTTTTGTCTTATTTCATTTTTCCCTCCCTTCCCCTATGATCCTGTTTCATTTCTTAACTTCCACATATGAGTAAAATCATGTGATAATTGTCTTTCTCTGATTGACCTATTTCGCTTAGCATAATACCCTCACTTCCATCCACATCATTGCAAATGGTAAGATTTCATTCTTTTTGATGGCTGAGTAATATTCCATTGTGTATATACACCACATCTTTATCCATTCATATGTCGATGGACATCTGGGCTCTTTCCATAGTTTGGCTATGGTGGACATTGCGCCTATAAACATTGGGATGCAGGTGTCCCTTTGAATCACTATGTTTGTATCCTTTGAGTAAATAAAATAACCCATTTTCTTTTTTTTTTTAAACCCATTTCTTAATAGTTCTTGCAACATATATAGTTCCGTATTTTAATCTAACTTGTGGGTTTGTTTTTTTTTATTTTCCACATTGCCCTTTCCCCTCAAATCAACCTTATGTTACTAAGAGCATTCCACGTGTAAGTGTCAAGTCCAGAGTGGACAATATCCCCAGAGGGAAGAAGGTTGCTTCTTCTAAGCAGGGATGAGCCCTTCAGAGGTCTCCTAGCGGACTTCTCTCTGTGCCAGAGCCTGGACCACACTGATTTCCTGGGCACAGAGCTAGATGACATATCCCGGGCTCTCTCCCAGTTAGGTGTGGCCATGTGACTGGGTTTTAGTCAAAGGGATTTAGAGACGGGATGCTCATGTCTTCCATGCCTGGCTTGAAAACTTGCTGTGCATGATCTTTTGTGCCTTCTACCCGGGGTCTCTAGGCTTGATGTAGGTTTGCATAATAGTTCCAGAGGCCACTCTGGAAGATGGTGAGAGGAGCCTGGGTCTTGAATCAGAGTTGGGAGGACAATTCCTCATTCATCAGGAACACCTGTCATATGTTGCATACGAGTAAGGAATAAACTTTCACCATGGCTAAGACATTCTCCACGTTTGGGGTTTAGCTGTTACTCCCTGGCATTCTGGAATTAGCTTGCACACCTGCCCTTAGCCCATCGTTGGTGAGAGGAATGGGACCATCACGGCTCATTTGGATTCATAAGGCTTTCCCCCTGGAGCTGGGGATAGCATCCCCCTTCCCTGGCTCTCATGGGCAGTGTGACCACCTGAACAGATCAGGACTCTGCTGGCAAGGAACACGGGGGAGGAGGGGTGGCTGCCAGGGGACCAGCAGTGTCTACACCAATCCACGCTCATCTTTTTCTTTTGAGTTGCATAATGAAGTCATGGCTTTTCACCAACTCAATGGATTTCAGTTAACCACAATGTGTTGGGTGGTGTCTTGGCAGGATAAAAAGTACACTCAAAGTGGGTAATTTGAGGAGAGTTTAAAAACAGGATTATTGGGATGTCTGGGTGGCTCAGTCAGTTAGGCGTCTGCCTTCAGCTCAGGTCATGATCCCAGGTTCCTTGGATCGAGTCCCGCATCGGGCTCCCTGCTCAGCGGGGAGCCTGCTTCTCCCTCCACCTGCCATTCTCCCTGCTGTGTGCTCTCTCTCTCTCGTTCTCTGACAGATAAATAAATAAAATCTTAAAAATAAATAAATAAAAACAGGATTATTTACAAAGATGTGGACAGGGTGAAGAGGAATCAGATACCCTGGAGTCAGTAACGGGGTGCTCTGTACCACTCCTAGGTCCCGAAGTCAAGAGGAAGCCAGCAATAATTAGGGCCTAGAGACGAGGGGACAGGCCACCCCACAGGCACAGTGATGTTGGTTGAAGAGCTCAGCCTGCCAGTTCACAGGATAAATACCCTGACTTCTCTCTTCTCCTTTCCCTCATCCTCTCACCCCACTCCCCACTGGCCAAACCCAGTGGGCAGGAGAGGGCAAGCCTGCTTGCTGACCTAGCCTGTGAGGCCAGAGCAGGGTGGAGAAAAGTGGAGACTGGGTCTGAAGGGGCAGATGGGAAATGCCCAGCATGCAAAATTATTTTCATGATGCTCACCCTTTACCACGGGGCTAGTGGGGAGCCCCCCTTTGGACTCTCAGCACTGCCCATGGCATCTCTGAAAATGTCTCAGCTTTCTAGCCTCAAAGATATGTTCCAGGCTTACCCAGGTTTTTACTGACCCAAAACACAGAATCCAGTACCTTCCACAGTGTCCTGGAGCTAGTTGTACTAAAAAGCAGTGTTAGGGAGGAAAAACTGTATCTCAGGGAGGCCCAGGAGGGCTGCTGGTAAGCCATTTTTCATAATAACAGAGCTGAAGATCTGTCTTTCTTAAAGTCATGAGTACACAACGATTTTTTCCAGCTTAACATATCTTGTTAATGACCCCTACCTTCCTAGGACCAAGTTTCATCAGTTGTTAAGATTTCCCAATCTCTGATGCCCAACGGCCTCTCCGTGGATTTTTGTAGACATCGCTATATCTTTAAAACAACTTCCTCTTTCTGTGTCAGCTAAGTCCAGCTAGATTCTGTTACTTGCAACCTGAAAGCCCTGATTTCCACTGATGCCAAAGTCTTCCTCTGCCCCACACCCTTCAATTAGATTTTTGGGGGACACACTGGCCTTCAGACCAGCTTGGGCTCAGTTTGCTTCCTTGCCCCTAGAAAAGAAGGAACCAGTCATCTCTATGACCAGACACTGAGGACAGATATTCGAATTTCCTCTTCCAACCATAACCACAACCGGGATGATGAACATCTCTGGGCAAGGAGCAGTCATAGGCCTTAAAGAAGTCATTAAGGGGTTTCGCTCAAATGGTCTTATTCAGTGTTTGTGTGGGGCTGAGCAGCAAAGAGAGCCACGTTTGCAGAGCCTCACATTTATCAGATCCTCCGATCCCGTCCACGTTTGCAGAGCCTCACATTTATCAGATCCTCCGATGTCCTGTCCTTAGAGATTTAGCTGAGCTCAACTCATAATCACAAGGCACCTGTAACTTGCACAAAAATCCTAAAAGAGACTCTTAATGCAACTGTGTCTCAAATGGAAAACTGAGGGGTGCCTGGGTGAGGCGGTCAGCTGAGTGTGCAACTCCCGGTTTCAGCTCACGCATCCCGATCTCAGGGTCCCGATCTCAGGGTCGTGGGATCGAGCCCCACGTCGAGCTCCGTGCTCAGTGCGGAGTCTGCTTGAGTTTCTCTCTCCCTCTCCCTCCCCCACCCCACCCCCCGGCTCACTCTCTCAATAAATAAATAAATCTAAAACAAAAAAACAACAAAAAAACAGGGAAAACTGAAATCCCACCAGGCTTTCTTCTGCTCCCAGTGTGTTTCTACTACGTTTTACTTATTTGTGAACTTCTACACTGACATAATTTCACATTTATGGAAAGTTTGCAAAAACAACATGGAGAACTCCTATACATTTTTTTCCCTCAGATCCACTGATTTTTAAATTTTTATCACATTCTTGGGCGCCTGGGTGGCTCAGTTGGTTAAGCGACTGCCTTCGGCTCAGGTCATGATCCTGGAGTCCCGGGATGGAGTCCCGCATCGGGCTCCCTGCTCGGCAGGGAGTCTGCTTCTCCCTCTGGCCCTCCCCCCTCTCATGCTGTTTCTCCCTCTCTCTCTCTCTAATAAATAAATCAAATCTTTAAAAAAAAAAAAATTTTTATCACATTCTTTTCTTATTGTTTCTCTCTTTCTCTTTGTATGTATATTTTAAGGACAAGTACAAATTAAAAAAAAGAAGCTTCATTCTCCCTGTTGACAACGAGGGAAGAGGTTTCTCTCCCATCCTTTTTTTTTTTTTTTTTTAAGATTTTATTTATTTATCTGACAGAGAGAGACACAGCGAGAGAGGGAACACAAGCAGCGGGAGTGGGAGAGGGAGAAGCAGGCTTCCCGCCGAGCAGGGAGCCCAATGTGGGGCTCGATCCCAGGACCCTGGGATCATGCCCTGAGCCGAAGGCAGACGCTTAACGACTGAGCCACCCAGGCGCCCTCTCCCATCCTTTTTTCTTAGAGCATTATACTTTAATAAAAAGTTTGTAAGTTCTTTCTCTGTCTCTTTGAGATGTATGTGGGTTTTTCCCCCCTAAGATTTTATTTATTTATTTATTTGAGAGAGAGAGAGTGCGTGAGCACACCAGCAGGATAGAGGGAGGTGGGGGCAGAGGGAGAGAGAGAATCTCAAGCAACCCCCCTGCTGAGCATGGAGCCAGATGCAGGGCTCGATCCCAGGACTCTAAAATCATGACCTGAGCCGAAGACAAGAGTCGGACACTTAACTGACTGAGCCACCCAGGCGCCCCAAGCATGTGAGTTTTTTTAGAAGCAAAATATGCCTCTTGCCAGCTTTCTAACCAGGAAAGGTCTTCCTCAAGGACCTGGGAGATACCTCTTTGAAATGTAAACATCAAGGGAGAGAGCACCTCTTGTCTTCCAGTTTCTGCGGGAAGGTAGAAGCCTAACTTTGCTGCACATCTCGTGCTTAGCTGCAGAACCAACTCCTGTCGTAAAGATATGAAAGATTTGTTTTTCCTCTGCATAAAGCCAATTAGCTAACACAGATGGCCACCCAAATTACTAGGTGAATCTAGGATGAACTATCTGTGACAGATGGCGCTGTCAAGTCCCCTTACTCAAGAACTAGTTATTGTTGATCAGGAAACATGTATGCAGTGGACAGAATCCGCTTGGCTATAGAAGAAGGTGAGACTTCCTTCTATCTTTGCAATCTCTTAGCGGACTGCCCACGACGTGCATGACATTCCATTTTAATGCTTGTTAAGTAATAGAGCTGTTTTCTTTCTCTCCTCCCTTGTGGAGGGATTTTCCGGGTTGGGTGAAGACTTTGTTTCTAATTATATTTCCCCACAGCATGCACACGTTATTTCTTTTTTCTGAACCATTTGAGAGCAGGTTGCATACCCTGTGCCCCTTTTCTCTTAACTTTTCAGTGCGTATCTCCTAAGCACATTCTCCCATGAAACCACAGTATGGTAATAAAATTCAGGAAATTTAATATTGATGTAAATAATTTTATCCAATCGACAGTCCATGCACCAACTTTGTCAACTGTCCCAGTGATGTCCTTTACAGCGCTTTTCCCTCCAGCATAGGTCCAGTCCAAGATCCCATCTGGCCCAGAACTGCCATGTCTTGTTCATCTTTATTTGGAGCAGAGCTTCGGTTTTCTGTCCATAAATACCTCATTCATTCCACTGCAGTTGAATTTATTCATTTTGGGGGGTCATATTTAGCATTACTAGGTCCTGTTTAAGAACTCTTCCCCTGTAAGTTCTATTAATTTTTCTTAAAAAATGAAAAAGTGGGGCACCTTGGTGGCTCAGTTGGTTGAGCAACTGCCTTCAGCTCAGGTCATGATCCTGGAGTCCCGGGATCGAGTCCCGCATTGGGCTCCCTGCTCAGCAGGGAGTCTGCTTCTCCCTCTGACCCTCTCCCCTCTCATGTGCTCTCTCTCTCCTCTCATCCTCTCTCTCAAATAAATAAATAAAATCTTTTTAAAAAAATGAAAAAGTGTTGGTTTTTACTTTTAATTATGTGCTCCATCTGGAACTGAGCTTTTTGTGTGGTGTGGGGTAGAGAATTTTGGGGGGTGATGGAAACCCCCCGAAATTGGTTCTGTCTTGATTGCTATGGTGGTTACATAACCGTGTGTATTTGTCAAAACTCATAGAACTATCCAGGAAAGAGGGTTACCTATACTCTGTGTAAGTTACACCTTCGTAAGCCTCACTTCAAGCCATCCTGAGCTGTCAAGGAAATAGAAGTTAAAGCCATAGTGAGAGGATTCAGACTTCCCACAGGACATAGGAGCTAACACGGCAGCCATTTCCCTGCATTTTCTTTTGGGGGACCCATCTCTTCTCCACTCTCAGCCCATGTAGTTTAGGGGCTGATACCCCCTGCCTCTAGAAGTGAGTCTATAACCCCAGGCCTGGCCAGCCCGAGCTCCGTGTTCCCCTGCCCAAAGTGACTGGTTTGAGTTTAGGCCCCAAGACTTGGACACACAGCATATTCCAGTCCTGGGGTGGGACATGACCAAAGTGGAAAAGGGAACTGAAGCTCTGGGCATGTAAGCCTGGGAGCTGCTGGGGGCTGGCAGGAGGGGGAGCCGCCCTGAGAATGAAGCCTACTCAGGAGGAAAGAAGCCACAGAAGAGAGAAAGAGAGTAGTGAGCTCCGAGGACATTAAGCTTCTAGCTCCAGCTGTGCCTGAAGTCCACCTTTGGACTTACCAGTTATGAGCCAATACATTCCCATTTTGCTGAATTCAGTACGAGTTAGTATATAAGTGAAGGAGGGAGCACAACCTGGCAGGCCTGCAGCTGGTCAAGTGACCAATGATTGTTTTTTTTGTTTTTTTTAATTTTTATTTTTTTAAGATTTTATTTATTTATTCATGAGAGACAGAGGCAGCAGGAGAAGCAGGCTGATGCGGGACTTGATCCCAGGACCCTGGGATCATGACCTGAGCCGAAGGCAGACGCTTTACCGACTGAGCCACCCAGGCGTCCCGACCAATGATTGTTTTATAGCAGACACTTCACTGGACAGTCTGCGGGAAGGAACCAGAACAGGAGTCAAATGACCCGCCTGGTCCTTGAGGTGATGGCAGCCAGATGGAGTGGGTGAGTGAACTTTACAGAAAAAGACAGAAAACCGCAGGTCTCCGATCTCAAGGATCTCCTGGTTCACCAAGGGAGAGACGATTAAACAAACAAATGGCCTTTGATGCAATGTATGATAAGTGCCTACATATTTCCTCCTTATAAGTAATGTGTTCCTTGATTCTAGCATGTGCCATTTCCCTCCGCACATTCTGGTCTCTGAAGGTAGGATGTGCCTTGCGATCAGCAGCTTCTTACAGTGGTGCTCAGCCAGGAAGTACTGACGCCGTCCTTGCTGGCACCTGGGTGACCTTGCGCACAACTGATATTGTCATCCCTTCCAATGGAATTAGGCACTGCACCTGTTTATTGAACTGTCTTTCTAAATGTCTTTCACAAGATCACACTGTAATTCAGCACCGAAGTGAAAAGGTGGTTCACGGGCACGAAGGCACTGGGGCAGAACGGTAAGGGTACATCTGATATCCGTAAAGAAAGTAAACAGCTCTGGAAGACCGACTCTAAGTCCACACTCTCCTGCAGAGGAATAATCATGTGCTTTACGGGAAAGGAAGTAAATGACACGAGGCAGCTTTCATACTGAGTTATTGTGTGGACAAAGACAGGACGTAGGGGTGAGTCACACACCTGGCCTCTGAAGATGAAGGGGTTTGGGGTTCCCATAACAACTCTATGGGGCATCCATTTTCCTTTTCATCTCTGCACGAGAAGGTGTAGGACAGAAATAGAGGTCTCAAAATGTCTAAGAGAGAGCTTTTTCAGATAAGAAGTCTAAGTGATAAGTAAGCATGGTTACGGTTTAATAGGTATCCTTTATCTTTTCCTTCCTAAGTGGCACATAACACAGTGAGCCCCTTAGAATTGAAGGTGCTTAGAGACGCTGATTTCTGTTCAACACTTATAATGGTACAGGGTTCAGGAGGGCAAGATTATACGGTGCACTGTAGAAAGTTCTCTCCACACACAGATCACAAGGTAGTAAGGGCGAAAGGTTGCATAAAGGAAAAGCTGGTGTAGGGGTGCCTGGGTGGCTCAGTCGGTTGAGCATCCGACTCTTGATTTTGGCTCAGGTCTTGATCTCGGGTCTCAGGATCGAGCCCCACGTTGGGCTCCTCACTCCGTGGGGAGTCTGCTTGGGATTCTCTCTCTCCCTCTTCCTCTGCCTTTCTCCCCAGTCACTCACTCTCTTTCTCTCTCTCAAATAAATAAATAAATCTTTATTTACAAAACAAAAAAGGAAATGCTAGTCACTACTTACAGGGTCCAGGGGTTTGGATCGTGCCCAGGTCATCACCGTGGATACTAAAATAAATACCTTGCGCTTCTCAAAGTGGCTGACTTCTTCATTCAGTGCTGTAGGGCCAGAAAGTAGAGCAGTTATATGTACCCACAAAGACCTTGTTTTCCCCATCATGTGTGGGACTTAAAATTAAGACGAGTGTCACCTCTGTGCTTCCCTGACCAGTCCCCCTGCCCTCACGGGTCTTGGCACTCTCCCTCCGGCTACCCAACCTCTACTGAGCCTAGGCTCCCAGGTTTAACCCTCCTTCCTGCCTCCTGGGCTGTAGCAGCGTGATTTCACTTTTGGGGGCGGCCAGTGGGAGTACTGATGCTCGCTGGCATGGACTAGAACAGTTCACGGCCTTTCCTGCATCCTTACCATTATGACATGGGTACTACTATTATTTCTGTTTTGCAGATCAGGGAACTGGGGTGCAGTTTGCCCAGAGGTATGGAGGAGAGGTGGGGGGCACAGTCCGATCCCGGCAGCCTGGTTGCAAAGGCTGCGCTCTCCCCACTATGCTGCGTGGGGAACGGAGCAGGGGGCCCTAGCAAGGTTGGGGCTGGGGCCGCAAAGGCCCCAAATCCAAAGGTAAGACCCCCTGGCAGTTCTGTGTAGCTTGCGCCACTGTGGAAGGAAGTAATTTGGGGGGTGCCCACCCTTCACATTCCCCCTGGCCTGCTGCGGGCACTGTGCGCCGTGGCCAGAGGGCTAGGGTCCGGCGGGAATGGCTGATTATGAGCATTCTGTAGGGATTGGAATTGACAACAGTGGTGGATGGAAGGATGAACATCGGATTTCTAAAGGGTTTGTCACCTCTAGGGGAGGAGGGGGTGGGCTCTCCACACACTGAAGCATTAAATCTCCTTAAATACGTTCGGCATGTGATCCCATTAAAATATTTTTCATGACGTATAATTTTCCAGAAAAAAAAAATCTAAAGGGAGGTCTAATTAACTTGTCAGAGGAGCTAAGTGACACAGTTGTCATGGTACATTTTTAGTCTCAGGAGCTGATTCCCTAAAGAAGCAGAACAGTAAAAGGCTGATACCCTGAATCCAATGAACGTGTGGAGTCGGGCCTTAGGTGAGAAAGCATTACTGAATTAAGTCTGAGAACACGATGTCCATGTATTAATCTCCGACTCAAGTGTTAATTTTAGTTCCATTTTCATTCTATTAACAAAAATGGCTTCTTCAATTCCATTTTGCCCTTTTGCCCTTTTGGCTCTACTATGCTTCAGACTGGCCTAGTTTGGGACGGTTTGGCCCACTTAGAGATCCTCAAAGTGGGTTATCCTTTCATTTGTGATCATTTTAATGGGTCTAAAATAATCTCCTTGTTCACTTGGAACAAGCACATTTTATCCTTATATGCAAATGGCTTCTCTTAATCCTAACACTTGCTTCCTTTCTCTTGTGTCATCTTGTCTTCCTTGGGCAGCAGCTGTGAAAAGCAAGGCAGGAGAATCCTTTTCAATTAAAAACATTTTAAAATTACTTAATAAAACATTAGTAAGAAGTAAGACATATATCCTTTGCAAAAACAAAAAAACAAAAAAACCCACAACAGGGGACGCCTGGGTGGCTCAGTTGTTAAGCATCTGCCTTCAGCTCGGGTTGTGATCTCAGGGTCCTGAGATCGAACCCCCAGCTCTGTGTCAGGCTCCCTGCTCAGTGGAGAGCCTGCTTCTCCCTCTCCCTCTGCCCCCCCACCCCCGCACCACTCGTGCTCTCTCTCTCAAATAAATAAAAATCTTAAAAAAAAAACCCCACAACAAACATACAAAAAAAGCCCTAAACAAAAACCAAACCCCAAATCTAAGCTTGTGCACATCAGGTAAAAGGACAAAATTCTTTTTTTTTTTAAGATTTTATTTATATATTAGAGAGAGAGAGAGAGCACAAGCAGGGGGAGTGAGAGAGGGAGAAGCAGGCTCCTTGCTGATCAAGGAGCCTGACATGGGGCTCGATCCCAGGACCCTAGCATCATGACCCGAGCCGAAGGCAGATGCTCAACCAACTGAGCCACCCAGGCGCCCCGAGGACAAAATGATTGAAGCCCCACCAGGTCCACGTCCGCCCCACCCTCAGGTGACCCTGATGGCAGGATGAAGGCCTCTGATTATTACTTTCTTGCAGACACAAACACTCTGTTTCTCCAAAATGAGGTAAAACAGTTAAAACCTTTCCCCCAAATAGAGAGGCAAAATTTTCTTAGTTATTTAAAGCTCTTCATTAGAATGAAGAAGGAAGGCAGTAAAACCCACTCCATATTAAAGCTCGTGAAAGGAGATGCCGTGTCAAAGTCTGGGAAAGCATTATGTTCCCTCGAGGGGCAGTGGGGGCTCCTAGGAGGAGCTGCAGCTCATCTGTCACAGCAGGAGGGCAGTGGCTAAGGTCTAAAATTCATAATCAAAGCACATCCATGCAGGCATTTTTATGCATTAAAAGGTACAAGTGGGTTAAATGAGGTTCCTTTTGGGGCATAGGGATGGAGTGGAAGGGAAATGCAAGGAATCATAGCTTTTTATTCTAAGCCCTACTGTGCTTTTTATTTTATTTTACTTTATTTTATTTAAAGATTTATTTACTTATTTTAGAGAGAGAGAGAGAGAGCACGGCAGAGGGAGAGGGAGAGAGAATCTGAAGCCGACTCTGCCCTGTGTGTGAGCCTGATGCGAGGCTTGATCTCCCAACCCTGAGATCACGACCTGAGCCGAAATTAAGACTCAGATGCTTAACTGACTGTGCCACCCAGGTGCCCCAGCCCTACTGTGCTTTTTAATTTTCAAAACATGTCCCAGGGGTTATTTCAGAAAAAAAATGTTTAAACATTGCAAGTATACATTATATAGAAAAATCAATTTTCAAAGCCTGACAAAATAAGAACTCAATAAATGTTAGCTCTGATTGCGATTTTAAATGGTGCAATTATTTTAGAAGGTGCAATTATACATCATTTGTAAATATTTGCAAAGGGACAAAATGCAGAAAGTTGGCTTTTCAAAAAAGCTCTGCTTCAAAAGATGATACAATGTTCGTGTTTTTGATTTGTTTCTCACTGGATGAAATGTAGGCACAAAGTTATAAAAGGGAAGTCAAACATTCTAAACTCCTGAGGAATCCCACATATCCAACACACAGTACTTTTCCATCATTTCCCTGGGTATGGTACAGCCTTCCTGAGGCTGCATTCCATTTCTTTGAATTTAAGCCAAAATATTGCTTTGCTGTTGATTTTATTCAAGGGTTGGCAAAGTAGTGCCTCTTTTTATAAATAAAGTTTTATTGGAACCTAGCCCATCATTTACATATTGTCTGTGGCTGCGTTCTTGCTACAACACGATAGTGGTTGGCTTGAATAGCCAAAAATATTTACTCTTCGGCCCTTTACAGAAAAATTTGCTGACCTCTGTTCTAATCTGCCTGAAACAAAAAATACTGATGTGAAAAAAATATCGAAATGTAAGGTGCTCTGTGTCTTTTTGGCTGTCCTGCTAGTCTAGGATGGTGATTCAAATAAGCTGATAAGCTTTCACTTTTGCTCCCGACTTAATTGAGAGATGAATCATAACAGCCCCAAATTGCTAAACATCACCTTGTTCTCTTAGACCTGTGGTCCTTAGAGTTCATTACAGTTTTGAAAGCATTCTAAACATGCAAGCATTCTCCCCGAGCCCTCGCTGATGTCCCCTGATAGCAAGGGGACATTTGTTGAATCAAATCCTCACAAGAATAAGTCCTCCCCTCTTAAAGGCACATCCACCTCTTGATACCTTTCTTGTGAACCAGCCATCCTCTGTCCTGCATTAAAGTTCCTCGTGTGTGCTTTAGCTCTTCCATGGGACAGCAGGGACCTTAAGGGTATAATCTGTCTCATTTGTCTTTGTATCTTCCCAATGCATTCAAGCCCACCTCCTTAAGCAGTGCCTGTAGGATGAATACAGGCTGAATTTTGAAAGTTGCCGTTTCTATTCAGGATTAAAAAAATTCTACTCTGGGGCGCCTGGGTGGCTCAGTTGGTTAAGCGTCTGCCTTCGGCTCAGGTCATGGTCCCAGGGTCCTGGGATCGAGCCCCGCATCGGGCTCCCTGCTCCAGGGGAAGCCTGCTTCTTCCTCTCCCACTCCCCCTGCTTGTGTTCCCTCTCTCGCTCTGTCTCTCTCTGTCAAATAAATAAATAAAATCTTAAAAAAAAAATTCTGCGGAAGCACGCATTGTTTAATTAATTCAACAAGGGGGCCATTAAGTCTCAGGTGGCTCTAAGGCCATGGCAGTTCCCATAAGCAAACCAAAACCTAGGTCTGTAAATGCCGCAAGGTTAGAAAATCAAAACCTGGGGCGCCTGGGCGGCTCAGTTGGTTAAGCGACTGCCTTCGGCTCAGGTCATGATCCTGGAGTCCCGGGATCGAGTCCCATATCGGGCTCCCTGCTCAGCGGGGAGTCTGCTTCTCCCTCTGGCCCTCCCCCTCTCATGTGCGCGCTCTCTCTCTCTCTCTCAAATAAATAAACAAAATCTTTAAAAAAAACAAAAAAAAAAAATCAAAACCTGAGGACCACCAATCACGACAGCGACCAGGCCCTTCCAGGTCGGGCAAATGCTTCAGCCATAGCCAATCGAATAATGTCCTTGAGTTGCTCTGTAGGACCTCCCCCTGGCTCCTGTTGGTGGAGCGCTCCTAACCATTTCCAACGTGGGAGCTCTCCTGAATCCGTTTTTGCTCAAATAAACTCCTGAAGGTTTTCCTAGGCCTCAGCGTATCTTTAACACAATCCAAAGGCATCTTCATTAGCTTGATTTCATTTCACGTTTCATATTCCGTCTCAGATCGGTTTCCCCGTGGCAGTAATTTGCCTCGTGGTCATTAGATGGTTCTAAGGGTAAGGAAGTTGCACAGAAGTGCCGCTTTTGGAGAGAGAAGAGAGCGGTTCACTGACCAGAGACTGCCCAGATGGCCTCCTCTGCTTGCTGTGGGTTCTCAGTGATGTTATAAACGATGACGTCACACTCCAGGAGGCGCATGAGAAGGTCTTCTCGAGAGATGGTCTGAAAAAGAGAGTTGACAGTCATTTGTTGTGAGCAGCTAACCTTAACATTTAGCCGGAATGACAGTTTCCAAATGAGATATACTGCAGATGAAGTGTCCTTCAGGAAACAGTTGCAGGATTTCTATTTAAAATGAAATTTTGGCTCTCTTCTGTGTGTAGTTTCCAAGTAACAAATAAGTTTATGGAAATAGCTGGGAACAGATGATTTAAAAATTGCATAATGATCTTAGGTACTATTTCTGCATGCTGTTTAAACCCCAATTCAGAAGGGAAGAATTACGACACACTGAAAGAAAATGTGTGAGGCATTTGAAACTAACTCCAACTCTGCGCAAGATTATTCGAGCCATTATATATCATGAGTCACTCACAAGGGCTGATGAGTGATTAATGAGGATTGTTTCAGAATCCTCAAGATGGAATTAATCGGTCCTCTTTGTAGATGTAAGGTGCCTTATTACAGCTGACAGTTGGGAATATTTTAAAAATACAGAAACTTTTAATGGGTAAAAATATAAATTCTTACATTAGACAAAAGTAACTTTGGTGATCGTCATGTTTTAAATAGTTATTCCTTCCTGTGTGGATGTTGGCAGGTTTCCTAGGAGTGCCCTACCTGGGGCGGGTATTATGATAACCATCAGAGGACCCTGCATTTCCAAACCAGGATTTGCACTCACTGTTAGTCCAGTTATCCTGAGGGGCAGATATTCCCCACAGTTCCTTGACAAGTTGCATTAAAGCAGAACATTTCAGGCCAGACGTGATCTCTTACCACGTAACTTGGTTAAAGAACAAAAGCAAAGTGAGTGCCTGTCCATATAGAGAGGACTACCCTGGCAGGGTTAATGCATCCCTGTTAAACCCAACCGTGCAGACAGCCAGTTTCCCCAGCCCGGTTCCCTACGGCCTTTGGCGTCCAGCTGTACTCATTTCCGAGGGCTGTTACTTAGTGTCACAAACTGAATGGCTTAAACAACAGAAATTCATGTTCCGCAGTCTGGAGGCTACAGATGTTGCTGTTTGTGATTATAAGGCTCGAGACTGTTGCTGTCTTGCTGCCAGCCTGAGACTGAAGTCACCCTTACGGGGAGGCAGAGCCCAGGAAGGGGCAGGAAAAGCAGCAGCAGCCCCTGGATCACGCCAGCCCTGAAACTGCATCTTCCTTGAGACCACCAGCCACATAAACTGAAGAATTTCCTTATTTGCAAAGCCAGTTTGCGTTGCCACATTTCCCTAGCGCTTGCAGCCCCCAAACAGCCCAAAGTGATAGAGAGAGCAAGGTCCTTAATAAAAACAAGGTGTCTAAAAGGCAGAGGGGTTTTGCAGAGGAGTGTGATGAATTTAATTTGGGGCATATTGATTCAGAAGTGCTGGCAGGACTTCTGGGGGGAACGCACTAGAGGGCAGCTGGATTTGGAGGTCAACAGGGTTGGTGACAGATTTGAAAGGTATTGGATCCTATGGGGGAGCTCAAGCCATAGGACTGGATAAGATTGAGGAAGGACATCCATTAAGAGAAAGGAGGGGGCTCTGGGGAAAACAGCATTTAAAGGGAGCCTCAGATGCACAAGGGAAGTGAGGCTGTGGAGGCTGCAGAAGGGGGAAGAAGACTTTCCCCTGGAAAGCCAGGGAAGACAGGACTTTGGGAATTAGGAGCTCTGTGGTGACACTGGCCAGGGCATTTCCTGTGACGTGGTGGGGGCAGAGCCTGCTGGCACGGGACTCCCAAGTGGCCGGGAGGGCAGTAGTGAGGCCGGCGAATGTGGCAGTGGTGGCCCGGGGCCGGGGGGGGAGCCAGCAGGGAGGCCACATGCAGTGTTTTTGACACTTGGAAAGATGTGAGCATGGAGCGCGTGGATAGGCGGAAAGAAAGAAGCCGGTGGTTGAGCAAAGCCCCTGGAGAGTGTGAAAGCGGGTAAGTGGTGGAGAAAGTTTCCTCGGATGGCGGGAGGGGACTTGCTCATTCATTTCACAAGTGTTTTATTGAGGGCTACTTTCTGCCAGTCAATGTGCTCGGGGCCAAAGATGCACGGATGAGCAGGAGAAAAAGTCAGGTGCAGTGTCTATTCTCAAGGGGCTGATGGTTGTAGTCCGGGCCACCCACAAGAGACAGACAATAACCATGAAGTGTGACAGGTGTGATGATGTAGGCAGGTAAAGGTGCTATGGGAGTCAAAGAAAAGAGCTCAGGGGCGCCTGGGTGGCTCAGTTGGTTAAGCTACTGCCTTCGGCTCAGGTCATGATCCTGGAGTCCTGGGATCGAGTCCCACATCGGGCTCCCTGCTCAGTGGGGGGTCTGCTTCTCCCTCTGACCCTCTTCCCTCTCGTGCTCTCTGTCTCTCATTCTCTCTCTCTCAAATAAATAAATAAAATCTTTAAAAAAAAAAAAGAGCTCAGTATCGAAACAGGGAGGGTAGAAGTAGAAATCACTGAGGGCTTCCTGGAGGAGGTGACATCCTGAGTCAAATCCCATGGATGACTAGGACTAGGTGGGGTTGGAAGAGGAAAGGCTGTTGCGCGGTGCGGTGTGTGCAAAGCTGTACGGTAGGGTCTGAAGAGCGGCAGGCCGGGTGATGAGAGGGATGCCCCTCTCGGAGGTATGCAAATGTTGCAGGGTGAGGATTGGGTAGCATGCGTCTCGGGGGAAGCAGTGAAACCGCTGGAGAAAGGTAAAGGTGCGCAGAAATTAAGATGGACGCGCTAGTGCTTCAGCGAGGCTTGACTTTAAACTGAACACATTTCTCCCTTTCATTCTTGAAGGCTCCCCCTCCCCCCTTCACTTGCTTTTCTGTAGAATCCTTTGTTCCAGGACCTGGACACCGATATTGACCTCCTGGGGACCTCAGTGCATCCTTAGTAAGGGAGACGCGATGGCCGGGCCGGGCCAGGCAGGAGACCACCTTGAAGACGGGAGGGGCGAGGATGGCGGCACCGACCGGATTCTACGCGAAACCACTCAGATCCTGTATTTTCTTGTAAAACCTCTCAGCCTTTTCCCCCGGGTGTGTCTGCAGTGTTTGGTTTTCTGTTTGGTTTTGGTTTATTTTTTTCCAAGTTTTTATTTAAATTCCAGTTAGTTAACATACTGTGTAATATTAGTTTCGTTTGTTGAATTTAGTGATTCATCACTTACACCTAATACCCAGGGCTAATCCTAACAAGCGCCCTCCTTGATACCCATCACCCATCTAGCCCATCCCCCGACCCATTTCCTCTTTAGCAACCCTCAGTTTGTTCTCTATTGTTGAGAGTCTCTTATGGTTTGCTTCCCTCTCTCTCTTTTTTTTATTTAAAGATTTTATTTATTTATTTGAGAGAGAGAGAATGAAAGACAGAGAGCATGAGAGGGAGGAGGGTCAGAGGGAGAAACAGACTCCCTGCCGAGCAGGGAGCCCGATGCGGGACTCAATCCCGGGACTCCAGGATCATGACCCGAGCCGAAGGCAGTTGCTCAACCAACTGAGCCACCCAGGTGCCCCCCCTCTCTTTTTTTTTTTTCTCTTGCCGTATATTCATCTGTTTTGTTTCCTAAATTCCGCCTATGTGTGGAATCATTTGATATTTGTCTATGACTGACTTGTTTCACTTAGCATAATACCCTCTAGTTCCACCCACGTCATTGCAAACGGCCAGATTTCATTTTTTTTGATGGCTGAGTAATATTACAGTGTATATATACTGCATCTTCTTTATCCATTCACCGGTTGATGGACATTTGGGCTCTTTCCATAGTTTGGCTATTGCGGACATTGCTGCTATAAACATTAGGGTGCAGGTGCCCCTTCAGATCCCTACATTTGTATCTTTGGGGTAAATACCCAGTAGTGCAATTGCTGGGTCGTAGGGTAGCTCTATTTTTAACTTTTTGAGGAACCTCCATACTGTTTTCCAGACTGGCCGCACCACCTTGCATTCCCACCAACAGTCTAAGAGGCTCCCCCTTTCTCCGCATCCTCGCCAACATCTGTTGTTTCCTGAGTTGTTCGTTTTAGCCATTCCGACAGGTGTGAGGTGACACCTCATTGTGGTTTTGACCTGTATTGCCCTGAAGATGAGCGAAGTTCAGCATCTTTTCATGTGTCTGTTGGCCATCTGTATGCCGTCTTCGGAAAAATGTCTATTCCCATCTTCTGCCCATTTTTTCACTGGAAAGGTCTGCAGTTGTGAAGGCATTGGCCTGCTGCAGCCTCCTTTGCCTGGCAAAGTAATAAAACTGTCGTTCCTCTTTATCCCCAAACTCTATCTTCGTGTTATATTTCAGCTCCAGAGCACACAGGTGGGTTTTCCACAACAGGAGCACTGTTTCTCAATAAGACAGCAACATAATGATATGTTATTACTGAGTGGTTTATTACCAAAGGAGGTTTCTCTTTCACAGAGGTGAGCACCCACCATGGCCCAGGGTCGTTGGGGAATGGAGGGTAGAATGCATTTTAAACACAGCTTAGAAAAAAAATTTTTAGGGGGGTTGCTGAGGGATCGGGAGAGAGAGAATCTTAAGCAGGCTCCGCACACAGCACAGAGCCCGACGTGGGGCTCGATCTTACAATCCTGAATCATGACCCAAGCCGAAATCAAGAGTCGGACGCTTAACCAACTGAGCCACCCAGGTGCCCAAAGTTTAGAAATTTTATGAGTCTGAAATACAGATTAGATCCATCCCTTCTAAGAAAATCTAATTTAAATTCTTTGCTCCAGGCAAGGCACATTTGAAGTGAAAACAGTGATTGTTCTCCATCAGAGGAGAAAGACCTGCCTCGACCTGCCCCTCACCTTCTCCCCACCCATGTTTGCGGGAGAAGGAGAAGCAAAGAATAAGAGTGCACTGTGGGGGGCGCCTGGGTGGCTCAGTTGGTTAAGCGACTGCCTTCGGCTCAGGTCATGATCCTGGAGTCCCGGGATCGAGTCCCGCATCGGGCTCCCTGCTCGGCAGGGAGTCTGCTTCTCCCTCTGGCCCTCCCCCCTCTCATGTGCTCTCTCTCACTCTCTCTCTCTCTCAAATAAATAAGTCAAATCTTTAAAAAAAAAAAAAAAGTGCACTGTGGGGCGCCTGGGTGGCTCAGTCAGTTGGGTGTCTGCCTTCGGCTCAGGTCATGATCTCAGGATTCTGGGATCAAGTCCCGCATTGGGCTAGGGCCCTGCTCAGCGGGAAGCCTGCTTCTTCCTCTCCCCGCCCCCTGCTTGTGTTCCCTCTCTCGCTGTGTCTCTCTCTGTCAAATACATAAATAAAATCTTAAAAAAAAAAAAGAAGAGCGCATTGTGAAGGTGTTGGAGCTCGAGGTGACTCTGCCCTTGGTCTATTCTTAGCAAAAGCCACCTGGACTTACACTGTATGTCTCCACGGCAAAGTTGGGCCGGACGCTTTCGAGCTTGGAGAGCGTGCCCACAATCTGGAAGGTGCCTTCCTTCAGTTTGGCTGATGAGGCTTCCGGCATGGTTGACTTATTTTCATCTTCTTCTTCCTCTTCTTCTGTAATTTCTTCAAGGGAAGCCCCGACTACGCAGTTAGACAGAAACTGCAAGAAAACATAAATTTACTAAGAAAATACTAAGAACAACGTAGAGTGAGGGCAGCCAGTGAAAGGATTCTAAAAACCGACCTTTCTGGAGGGCTTGCTAGAGGTACCAGACGCGCACAGCCAGTGGGTTATACGGTGGTGGTAGTTCACTGAAATTAGCAATAACCGCGGTAACACAGTGAGGTGGGTACTGTTACAACGCTCTGTGTTATAGATGAGGAACCCAGGCTCAGAGAGCTTACAGGACGTGGCAAGGATATGTGGCTGGGCAGGGCTGCAGTCACCATGTTGGTGTTGCCTAATAGAAATGGAGAAATGTCATGCTATCCTCTCTGGTAAATTAAACTGGCTAGCAGCCCCATTAACAGAAATAAAAGGAAACCAGTGAAATGAATTTAAATAATGTTTTATTTAACCCAACAGATTCATATCCATATAAAATTATTAATTAGATCTTTTATATTCCTTTTTGCTTATACTAAGTCTTTGAAATTCAGTGTGCATTTTACACTGAGGGCGGGCACACCTCCATCTGGACTTGCCACATTGAAATGTTCTATAGACGCAAGGGGCCAGTGGCTACGTTATTGAAGAATGAAACAATCAAGTTGGCAAAAAACAAACAAACAAAAAAATCAAACCAAACCAAACCAAAACAAAACCCAAAGAGGGGCGCCTGGGTGGCTCAGTCCGTTAAGTGTCTGACTCTTGATTTCAGCTCAGGTCATGCTCTCAGGGTCATGAGATCCAGCCCTCCACTGGGCTCTTTGCTGGGGGCATGGAGCCTCCTTAAGAGTCTCCCTCTTTCTCTGTCCCTCTGTCCCTCCCCCATCACCTTGCTGGCTCATGCTCTCTCTCTCAAAAAAACAAAAAAAAACAAGAAAAACAAGAAAAACAATCAAGTTGGCAAAATATTGTTTTTTATTTTACAGAAGTTATCCTTGGGAGTGGTTTATGTGATGTTAAAGAGTTAAAGAGTACATGTGTATATATATATGTCATGTTAAAGAGGTAGAATATACATATATATATAGTATATATATGTAATGTGTGTATATATATGTCATGTTAAAGAGTTAAAGAGTATATATGTATATATATGTAATGTGTATATATATATGTCATGTTAAAGAGTTAAAGCGTATACATATGTAATGTGTATATATATGTCATGTTAAAGAGTTAGAGTATATATATGTATACATATGTAATATGTATATATATGTCATGTTAAAGAGTATATATATATAAAATATATATACTTAAACATATATAATTATTTATATATAAATAAGAATGATTTTAATTTACATGTTAAACATTATGTAAGTAGTCATGGCATTATCACACCTTGGGAGGAAAGACATACAAAAAAACCCCAAACAAACCAGAAGTCCCACCTCATTTATTTTGATAACAATCATTTCGAGTTAGTAATGCAAGCTTGTCAGGTTCAACCACTTATGGGACTCTATCTCTACCAAGTATGCCGTATATATTTTCATTTCTCTCTCAAACATACACAGTCAATTTTATTACCCCATTTCACAGTTGAGGACATTGATGCCTGGCTCTAAGGAACTTGCCCAAGATTGCATGGGCAGGGAGGGGGTGCAGTCGGACCTCCTGATCCCCAAGGCAGCACATGGACCCCACGGCCACCCTACTCCCCCCCAGGGATGAGTTGGGGGGCGGGGGCCGGGGGGCAGGTGGCTTTGCCCAGCTGGGCGGGGAGCCTGAAGACTAGAGACCCAGCCTCCACTTCTTTTATATGCTTCATATTCTCAGTCCCGTGTTGATTGGTATGGAGAACAGTAATTCCCTAAAATTTCAGAACTAGACGTCCACATGAGTCAAGGAATAACCAAAAAATTCTGTTATTGATAAGCTTTTGGAAAAGATCTCTACAAACTAAAAGAAAATCTTTTGTTCTAAAAATATCATGCTGTAGGGGCGCCTGGGTGGCTCAGATGGTCAAATGGCTGCCTTCGGCTCGGGTCGTGGTCCCAGGGTCCTGGGATGGAGCCCCACATCGGGCTCCTGGCTCAGCGGGGAGCCTGCTTCTCCCTCTGCCTCTGCCTCTCCCCCTGCTTGTGCTCTCTCTCTCTGTATCTCTGTGTCTCAAATGAATAAACAAAATCTTTAAAAAAAATATTATGCTGTAAAAAAAATAACCAGAGCTCAAAAGGGGGTAGAGAAAAATGTTAAATTCTCTTGCCTCCCACCCTCTTAATCCCAATCAGGTCCCCTCCCTTTTTAATATAATCCAGGGGGGAACCTGGGTGGCTCAGTGAGTCAAGCATCCAACTCGTGATTTCATTTCAGGTCCTGATCTCAGGGTAGTGAGATCGAGCCCCTTGTTGGGAGCCTGCTTGTTCCTCCCCCTTTGCATCTCCCACACCACCTTCCACTTTATGTTTGATTCTGCTTTGTTAATTTATGCAACAAAAATCAGTGGAGTGCTGACCACATGGGGCACCAGTGAGCTGCTGAGCAAGGCCACCTTCCGACTTTCATGGGTCCTTTCCTCCAAGATAAAAAAAATTAAAAATTATATTTTGTGACTGTTGCCATAAAGACTATTGCCATAAAGACCCACCATCTTTGACTCTAAAATTTCATTTGCTTCCTTCTGATTTTAGAAGAGATTAAGACATGTTTGTGGGCCGCTAAGTCTCGTGGGCCCTGGGCCCTGGGCCTGCTGTCCTGGGGCCTGATTCCCTGCACCCTCACCTCTCTGTCCTCCGACTCTCACCTTGGCACCTTTGTCTCTGCTGTGCCCTGAGAACCAGCTCCTCTGGCTTGATCCTCATGCTGGGGTGTGAGGGTAAGGGGCAGCTTTAAGGAGAGCCCTTTCCTGAGACCCTAAGCAGCCGCCCTCTCTCACCAGCCAATCTTCTACTCTCTTTCTTTCAAAGTACCTATCACACACCTAAATACCGTGGTTGTTCAAAAAATCACTTATCGTCTGTGGGAGGGGCAGAGAGAGAGAGAGAGAGAAAGCATCTCAAGCAGACTCCCCTCTGAGCTCAGAGCCTGACGTGGGGCTCGATCCCGTGACCCTGAGATCAAGAGTTGGAGACTCAACCGACTGAGCCACCCAGGCACCCCTATTTTGAGACATTTTCTGCATACAGATCATCTCTATTTATTTCTCTATCTACCTGTCTATCTACCTATTTTCTCTATATTTGTATCTATCTTCTTGAAAGACATAAATCACTTCATGCTACACCTGTCTTTTTAATGCTTCCTTTCTTTAAATAAACTTATTTTGTTACGTATTTTTTTCCAATTGTATCCTTGTCCTTTCTCTGTCCCTCTCCTCTATTTTTTAGTAATGTGGAAGATATATCATGTGTTTTTAGTCTCTCCTAGTAGATACATATCATATACACTGTACATACTGTTAAAAAACAAGATTCAATTGAGAATATTTGATGATCTAATTGGCTTTACTAAGTGATTCATGAATTGAACAGCAATCCCATCTAGCAAGTAGATGGGAGCCCTGAGAAGCTGCACAAAATGGAAGGTTTTTATGGGAAGGTGGGTGGGGTGAGGAGTTATTAGCAAAAAAAGGATTGTTTTAGGAAAGTCACCTTCCCTTAGGGAAGGGGGGGGTCTTATGCAGATTACCTCATCTTCCTTTGGGGAGTGGAGAGAGCCCTGTGACAGATAACCTCATTGATGTCATCCAGAGAATTCCAGACTTATTGTCTTAAAATTCCACTCCTAGAGAGGTTGAAAATTACAATGAAGTCTTGGTTTGCTGTCCTGGCAAATGACTCCACCTTGGGCCTTGTGGCTTCCTTTTTAACAACACAATCACATATACTAACATATATATTTCTGCATGCCAGATATATGTAAAATATACTATTTTACATATAAATTAACTATCTAAATCTATATATTTTTTTACTGATCAACTTTAGATGGTGTACTGGCTTGAGTAGTGGCCCCCTACTCCCCACCCCCATTTGGAAATAGGGTCTTTGGAGATGTAATCAAGTTAAAATGCAGTCATACTGGATTAGAATGGGCTCTAACCCAATGACTGGTGTCCTAAAAAGAGGGAAATTGGGACACAGAGGTACTTGAGGAGAACACCATGGGGAGACAGAGGCAGAGGTTGGAGTGATGAGTCTACAAGCCAAGGGATGCAAGAACTTCTGGCAAGCACCAGGTGCTACGAGAGAGGTAGGTAGGAAGCAGAATCTCCCTCGCAGCTTTTAGAAGGAACCAGCCCTGCCAACACTTTGATTTTGGGCTTCTGGCCTCCAGAACTGAGACAGAATAAACCCGGGTGTTTTAAGCCATCCAGTTTGTGGTAATTTGTGATCGCTAGGAAACCAGTATAGATGGTATGCACTGTAGCCACATCCTAATTCGGGTAGCATGCGTTGTCTGAAAGTGCCATCATTAGCCTCACAGAAGTCTGCCCAGGGTGAGGTTACACTTCTGGGTAGCTCCAGAGGGTAGAAGTGAGATGAATGAGTCTTGCTCAGGGAAGTGATGAAATTATAGCTTTCTTTCGACTACTGAGTATTTGAAGATGAAGGGTCTCAGGATCCTCTTTTAGAATATCCTCATTTCCCAGGGCTAACAATGAAGAGTGGGGAAGTTTAGTGGGACTCAGGGCCCAAAACAGTGCCTGGCACATAAGAGACCCTCAAAATGTCTGTGCAAGGCATGGATGAATGAATATGCTTGGTTAAGCGACATAACCACTGGACTTACCTGTCAGATGTCTGCTTCAGATGCGGTGGTGGTGGGTAAGGAGAGCCCAGTTAGGCGGCCGGAGACCTGGGCTCTGTGTCCAGGTCCGGCCCCCAACTTGCTATGTGATCTGGGGCAAGTCCCTTTCTCCCTCTGAGCCTCAGTTTCCTTTCATTAACGGGGAGGACCCAGCGCTGGGCCGGCGATCTCCAAACACCTGGGCTTCCAGCTGGGGCTCTGCGTGCGAACTGGTGCCCAGGACGAGGGACCCTCCTTTAGGGGAGGCCCTGACAGCGTCCCGTGGCGCAGAGCCTCGCTGGGTTCGGGGGCCCGGGAACCCAGGGGCGGGGGGCTGGGGGCTGGGGGCTGGGGCTCTATCTACTCTGACCGGCCGCTGCTCACCTTCCCGATGTTCCCGCTGCTGTATGAATCCAGCAGGTTTATAAACACCCGCTGGATCCGGATAACTTTCTCCGTGGCTTCCTCTTCTTCAGCCATGCTGGGGGCAGCACTGGTTGCTAAGGGGAAAGCGTCCCTCTGGTTGCCAAGGAGGTGGGGCGGGGCGGGGCTGGCTCTCCGGGGGCGGGGCCTAGGGCGCGAGGGGGGCGGGGCCTAGGGCGCGAGGCGGGGCGGGGCCTAGGGCGCGAGGCGGGGCGTTCCCGGGGCGGGGGCGGGGCCGCGGGTCTCCCGCGCGGGGTGGGCGCTGCGGGGCCTGGGGGCCCCAGTGGCCCCCCACCCCCGCTCTGCCTGGCTCCACGCCCAGTGCCCGCCCGCGGAGCGAGTCCTCTTTCGGAGCCTCCCGGGGCCTTGCCATAGGGGCCACGCGACCCCGGCTCCCTTTCGTCTCTTTAATTCTGAAACTGGAACCGCCCCGGGTTCACGAGACCCGGAGGCCTGAAAATACTGCTGAATCTGCGGAGCGGGGAAAGCCCGAAGCCCATTCCCCTGAGGGATCGCGTGACCGGGAGGGCGTGGCAATCCTGCGGCGCCGAGAGCAGCTGTTGCCATGGAGTTCTGGGTCCAGGACGCTGCAACGACAGTCCTCACTGTGCAGCCAGTCGCCTCTCGGCCTGTGGGGCTCGGCAGGCCCCGGGGCTGTTCGGTCGCAGTTCCGGGGAGACCTCGGGGCTGGGCAGGGGTGGCGGCGGCCGGGGGCCATGGTGCCCGGCGGCCATCCACATTCACAAAGGGATGGAATTTAGGCTTTTGACCTTTCCAAATGAGGTTAGACATGCAGGTGCCCAGATAAACGGACAAATTAAAAGATGAAAGATGACATCCAGTTTGCCTTATCACGGGACCACAAATGTCCTTGGGGACATCCTGCCCTTATCTTGGAATAGTCAGATTCTATTGAAATACTTCGTGCTCTGAACAATAACTTGTTAAATATAAATATTTAACGCATACAGCATTGGGGGGGGTAGTTTTTTGTATTTTTTTAAACTGATTGCCTTAAAAAAAAACGGATGTGACCCAGGGGCTCCAGCCAGCTTGGAGGCTCTGGGCACTCAGCAGATCTGGCCTTGAATTCCAGCTCTGCAGCCATTTGTTAGCGATTGGGACGATGTTTTAACCTTACGTCAGCTGTTAAATTGATGTAAAACACGAGTGAACTCACCAGCCTAACATGTTGTGCTGTTAGGATTGAATAAGACATATTTGACAGCCTTCACTGAAGTGGTGTCCAAAGGTGAAATTGCTTTTTTTTTTTTTTTAAGGTTTTATTTATTTATTTGACACAGAGAGAGAGAGAGCACAAGCAGGGGGAACGGCAGGCAGAGGGAGAGGGAGAAGCAGGCTCTGCACTGAGCAGGGAGCCTGATGTGGGGCTCTATCCCAGGACCCCAGGATCATGACCCCAGCCAAAGGCAGACGCTTAACCAACTGAGCCACCCAGGCACCCCAGAAATTGCTTTTTTTTCCTGCAATGTTAAGGCACCCTTCGGCAAATGGGACCCTTTCATCCCTTTTTTTTGGTCTCCACCCCCTTTTCTTTTGAATGAATGAATGAATGAATGAATGAACTAATGGTGGGGAAGCCTAGAGGGAGAAGGAGAGAGAATCTTAAGCAGGCTCCAGGCCCAGGACAGAGCCCAATGCTGGGCTGGATCTCACCACCCTGAGATCATGACCTGAGCCCCAAATCAAGAGTTGGACGCTTAACTGAGCCACCCAGGCGCCCCCCGTTTCTTGTCTCATTAAAACTTGTTTTGATAAAATAATTAACCCTTTGAAATTTTGCATTCAATTTGGGAATAGCTTGCTCATAGCAACATTCTTTTTTAAAAATTATCCACAAGGTGTAAAAATATTCATGCAAGACCTGAGCAAAACTTGATAGAGATCTTCTTCAGCATTCTTTCAAATGACTTGTTATTCCAAATACTCTAGAATTCACTGGATGCTTCTTTTTGATTTTTAGTTTGTCCCTACTGATGTGCAGTTAAGCAGGTATTTAGAAAGCTGTTCAACTGGATGTGTTACTATAAAATATCTCACCTTGTTTCATTCTTTTTTTTTTTTTTTTTTAAGATTTTATTTAAGACAGAGAGAATGAGAGAGAGAGAGCACATGAGAGGGGGGAGGGTCAGAGGGAGAAGCAGACTCCCTGCTGAGCAGGGAGCCCGGTGCGGGACTCGATTCCGGGACTCCAGGATCATGACCTGAGCCGAAGGCAGTAGCTTAACCAACTGAGCCACCCAGGCGCCCTCACCTTGTTTCATTCTTATGTTTATACTCCTGGTAACAGCTGAAGGAGCTAGCCCCATAGTTATAAGTAGATGGCTTCCAGAGAATTTTATATCTATCATATTGGTAGGTGAGAAAATGAGATTCTGTTGATTAATTCTATTATATCAACAAGTAATGTACCTTTCTTTTACTGTTATTCCTTTCTTTTTTCAAAATCAGCTTTCATACACGGGCATACCTTGGAGAATTTTGGTTTCCAGACCACCACAATAAAGCGAGTATTGCAACAAAGCTAGTCAAATGATTTTTTTGGTTTCCCAGGGCATATAAAAATTATGTTTACCCTATACTGTAGTTAAGTGTTCTATAGGATTATGTCTAAAGAAACTGACGTACACAATTAAAAAATACTTTATTGCTAAAAAATGCTAACCATCATTTGAGCTCTCAGCAAGGGTCTTGCCTCAATGTTGATGGCTGTTGACTGATCCGGGTGGTGGGTGCTGAAGGCTGGGTGGCTGGGGCAATTTCTTAAAATAAGACAATTAAGTTTGCAGCATCGATTGACTCTTCCGTTCAGGAATGATTTCTCTAGCATGTGATGGTGTTTGATAGTGTTTTACCCACAGAACTTTCTTTTTCTTTTTTTTTTTTTTTAAGATTTTATTTATTTATTTGAGAAAGAGAGTGCACAAAGTGAGAGAGAACACTGGCAGGGGGTGGGGCAGAGGTAGAAGCAGTCTCCCCGTTGAGCAGAGAGCCCAATGAGGGGCTTGATCTGAGGACGCCGGGATCATGACTTGAGCTGAACCGACTGAGCCACCCAGGTGCCCCAGTAGAACTTCTTTCAAAATCGGAATGGATTCTCTCAAACCCTGCTGCTGTTCCATCAACTAAGTTTATGAGATATTCTAAACCTTTTGTCGTTTCAACAATCTTCACCAGTAGATTCCATCTCAAGAAGCCCACCTTCTTAGCTCATCCATAAGAAGCAACTCCTCATTTGTTCAAGTTTTGTTGTGAGACTGCAGCAATTCAGTCCCATCCTCAGGCTCCTTGCTGTTTCCACCCCATCTGCAATTTCTTCCTCCACTGAAGTCCTGAGCCCCTCAAAATCATCCATGGGGGTTGGAATGAACTTCTTCCAAACTCCTGTTAATATTGGTCTTTTGACTTCTCCTCGTGAATCATGAATGCTTTTCATGGCATCTAGAATGGTGAATCCTTTTTAGGTTTTCAATTTACTTTGCCCAGATCCATCAGAGGAATCGTAAGACAGCTACAGCCTTTCAAAATGTTTCTTAAATAAGACCTGAAAGTCGAAATGACTCCTTGATCCATGGGGCAGAATAGATGTGGCAGCAGGCATGAGAATAACATTCATCTGACTGCGTATCTCCATCGGAGTTCCTGAGTGACCAGGTATATTGTCAATGTAATATACTGTCAGTAATATTTTGTCAGTAGTGTTTTGAAATGAATTTTTCTTTTCCCAACAGGTCTCAGCAGGTGCTTAAAATATTTAGCAAACCATGTTATAAACAGAGGTGCTGTCACCCAGGCTTAGTTGTTCTGTTTATAGAGCACAGAGCAGATTTAACATAATTCTTTTTTTTTTTTAAGATTTTATTTATTTGAGAGTGTGTGAGAGAGCACGAGCAGGTGGGAGGGCAGAGGCAGAGGGAGAAGCAGACTCCCCGCTGAGCAGGGAGCTCCATGCAGGGCTCGATCCCAGGACCCTGGGATCATGACCTGAGCTGAAGGCAGACACTTAACCGACTGAGCCACCCAGGTGCCTGGCATAATTTTTTTTTTTTTATTAAAGATTTTATTTATTTATTTGACAGAGAGACACAGTAAGAGAGGGAACACAAGCAGGGGGAGTGGGAGAGAGAGAAGCAGGCTTCCCGCCGAGCAGGGAGCCCGATGCGGGGCTCGATCCCAGGACCCTGGGATCATGACCTGAGCCGAAGGCAGATGCTTAACGACTGAGCCACCCAGGTGCCCCATTTTTTTTTTTTTAAAGACCTTATTTATTTTAGAGAGAGAGAGAGTGAGCACGGGGAGGGGCAGAGGGACAAGCAGACTCCACACTGAGTGCAGAGCCCGATGCGGGGCTCAATCCCAGGACCCTGAGATCATGACCTGAGCCGAAGTCAGACTCTTAACTGACTGAGCCACCCAGGTGTTCCTTAATTCTTAAGGGCCCTAGGATTTTTTGGAATGGTAAATGAGCATTGGCTTCTGCCTAAAGTCACTAGAGCGTTAGCCCCTGACAAGTCAGCCCGTCCTTTGAAGCTAGGGATTGACTTCTCTCTAGCTATAATAGTCCTAGAAGTTATCTTCTTCCAATGGAAGCCTGTTTCAATTTTCAATTGAAAATGTTTAGTGTAGCCACCTTCATTAATTATCTTAGCTAGATCCTCTCGATAGCCTGCTGCTTTGATTTGTACTTTTATGTTATGGAGACATTGCCTTTCCTTAAACCCCCCGACCAAACTCTGCTAGCTTTGAACTTTTCTTCTGCAGCTTCCTCACCTCTCCCACCCTTCATAGCATTGAAGAGTTAAGGCCTTGCTCTGCAAGAGATTTTAGCATAAGGTAATGTGGTTGGTTGGTCCTGTCTAGAACACTAAAACTCTCCCCATGAGCAATAAGGCTGTTTTGCTTTATCATTCGTGTATTCACTGCAGTAGCACTTTTTCCTTCAAGAACTTTTCCTCTGCATTCACATCTTGGCTAATGGGTGCAAGAGGCCCAGCTTTTGGCGTATCTTGGCTTTCCACGTTTCCTTCACTAAACTTAATCATTTTTAGCTTTTGATATAAAGTGAGATGGGCAATTCTTCCTTTCACTTGAATGCTTAAGAGGCCACTGTAGGGTTATTAATTGGCCTAATTTCAATATTGTTGTGTGTCAGGTGCAAGGAGGGGGAGAGAAGGAAATGGCTGGTTAGTGAAGCAGTCAGAACACAATTTATCAGTTAAGTTCACCATCCTATATGGGTAGGGTTTGTGCCCCCCCCATTACAGTAACATCAGAGATCACTGACCACCATAATAAAATACTTTTAATTTGTGACAAAAAGTCCTGCATTATCTGTAAAGCGCAATAAAATGATATGCACCTGTAACCACAGAGTTCCGGTGATGCTTTTACCAACACACACTGGACAGGGTTAGTTGGTGGAGAC